CGGTCGGTTCCTCCCGACTCCCTGGATGAGGTCCCGAAGATGCTGAGTGCAATTGGTTGGGAACGTTGGAAGTCATGGCTCGAAACCAAACTCAGTGGCGGGCGTGTATCTCTGCTTCTTGCGGTGATTCCCCTTCTCTCCTCCAATAAAAACATCACAAAGCTCAAAGCCTGTGAGTGGAAAAATAGACAAAAATTGTTCGTTTTATTTTTTTATTCTAATCCTATTTTCCCATTCCGCCATGTTTCCGATGACACAATATCTGTACACAGATTGTGGTCTCTCTCTCTCTATACATATACATATATATATATATATATATATATATATATATATATATATATATATATATATATGTATATATATATATATATATATATATATATACATATATATATATATGTATAGTGCAAAATCCAAAAAAATAAACCCGGGTGGCATGCAGATGAGAGCCACCTTTCATCAACGGTGCCGGACCACACTCCTTCACAGGCAAACGCAAGCACGCTAAATTTGGGGAATCACGTACACACAACGCCGTAGTTCGCTCCACACACAATCCTTTTGCATAAATCCACTCTGTACTTAATACGGTCTCTGAACGGTTGTTCAAAAGAAAGTCAAAGGGATTTCGCCAGATTTGCCTTATGTTTGCAATTTGTGTGCACGCAGCGCCGGAGCTACCATGTAGTAGCGTCCACAACGGCTTCAGCCTCGGTCCATACACCGCCTTCCAGAAGTCAAAGAATTTTGTGTTGACTGCGTTCGGCGTAGCATCCTATCTGCTTTGCCTTCACCATCCACCATGCATTTTTAATGCGATAGAGCTATCGAGTCAGTTACCGTCGAAGTTTGCGAGACTGACTCTTCTTCACCAAGTCACTGGGGTCTACCACATGTTCAGCAAATGCTGCATTCTCAGTCACCAATACGCCAATCGCCGCATTATTCTCATAAAAACGATCAAGCTGCTTACAGTTTGCGCGCCCGATGGTCTCGGCAGCAGCTGTCACCTGGTCGCGAATGTAGTGCCACAAGTCGCCCACTGTGGCTATGCATTCCACATCACACAGGCGTGCAGCCATCGCCCTCTCCAGCTCAATACGCTTCTCCACAGTACCGACGGAGAGAATGTTACCTTTACACCGGTGGCCGAGTGGTCTGCACGTTTGCTTTGCAACCATAAGGTCACCGGTTCGAATCCGCGTAGGGGTGGGCGTCCTCGCGGTATACTCAGCCCGCGCGCGACTAGTGGTGGTCGCGCGGCAGCGAAGCGCCGTTACGGCGTATAAGCTGACACATTATTATTATTATTTATTATTACACCGGTTCATGACAAGGGTGCAATACCTAGATTTACGAAAATAGATTTACAGTTTGGTCCGCACCAATTTGTGCTCAGTGCCACTCAGCTCCAATTAGTACACCTGTCATGCACACTTCACGCACGACACGCTGACATAGTCGAGCAGGTGAGCGTGACCACTCCGTGGGTGCGTCCCAGTTGCTATATCACTCGCACTCAGTGGAAGCCGCGTGTTCCTGGTCGTCAGACCGTGAGCTGCACACAGTGAGAGCAGTCTGTCACCGTTCGCATTCGCCAAACTAATGCCATGTGAACCGATGACATCTCTCTACGCCGATGCATCACGCCCAGCGCGCGCGTTGCAGTCACCCAGCAGAAATAGTCGGTCGCTCCTCGGTACGCACCGTATCACGGAGGATAACTGAGTGTAGAATTGATCACGCGTGTCATCAGGATAACACATGGTCGGATCGTACGTGCTTATATAAGTGACGAACAGTCATCAGTCGCGCGCTAATGTCTGTTGGTTCGCCCACCAGATGACCATTGAAGCGATCGGATATCGCATGCATTGTTGACCGGTACTGTGTCTAGCTGCGTGGATTTCCGAGGTAGTCAGCTACGTCGTGACAGCGCACCATGAAGCTGAGCCGGGTTTATTCTTTTTCTTCTTGGATGCGGCCTTAGATTAGTCACATCAGAGGATGGATCCCTTTTACTGAACCTTGCGCACTCCAGATACTAGTAGTGCTACGTATCGATTCCCATGTGACTCTTAACTCCATCCGACAATTTTTGCCTACTTTTAATCAATACCAATAGCGAAAGTTGTAGTAATACCATCAACATAAGTCAGAGCAACCGGATTCAACGCACTTCTGTGTATGAATAATGAGTAATCACTAAGCGGTATTCCTGAGAACATATCTAGCGGAACGTATGCCTTGTGATCGTGAATTTGCACCACAGTTAACACGTGAAAGCTCAGGATTTTCCCACCTTCTATCGATACCATCAATGTCGAGCATACGATCTTGTCATCATCACGGGCATCGTGAACGTTCACCGTAGCTGCTTATCAGCATCAAGATGTCCTATGTACTGCCACATCTGAGTTGGTCCGTCATCCGTTAATTGATCACGGTCATTACCGTTCCTATACTTCCTCACGCACGTTCGCTTCTCGTTATCCGATGCCTGCCAAGCGAAAAGCTATCTTACTTTCATGTTGACGACGTTACCAAGACCGCAAATTACGCATCTTTTTCACTGTCATTAGTATGTAACATCTGGGTGTTGTCACTTAGAGCCGGTTTTTTATTCTGCGGGAAAAGCCAGTCATTGGTGGTTTCAATTTGATTTAACTACTCCTAACAAATTTAACTGTCCATTTTCCTGAAATTCTTAATCTTGCCATTACCGTCACCGTTATTGTGCTGTTATTACTTTGGCATCGATCCACCGCACTTCAGTTCATGAATTATATTTGACAAGCCTAAAGTTGATTGTAAGATCATTTTGAAGTATCCGTTGTGTGCATGGATTGCGGCGCGCAATCTCAATGTAGACCGCGATTCACATTGAGATGACTTTTGGTCAATGAGACCAATGGGGCCGTAGCCAAAGCACATAGAGCTCGGGTGTTGCCCGCTTAAAATTACATAAAAATGAAAAACGAACTGATGGTGTTTAGGTGTGGGCCTACTGTCTAATGAACTCCCGGAACATGTACTGTAGTTTTTTGCAATTTGATATTTGTTACGGGAATTTTTGATTTCCCACTGTGCTTTGCGTTGTATCTGCATCACTTACTCTTGTTAAACCACGTTATCCATACGCCTGTTGGCCACATTTATCTCATCTACTGTTTGCACCTCCTAGTCGATCGATGTCATGAGAACGTTCTTGAGAATCTGACTTAATGTTGCTCGTGTCCATTACCCTCACTGTTTCGGCCACGTCATTGGCTCGAAACACAACTGAAGATCGAGTAGAACTGTTACACTCCTTGTTCTTTCTAATGGGATCGAATTATGGGCTGGTAGGGTCGCATCGGACACAGGTGTACGCTTTGCTTGGTGCTGGGACAACACGCTATACATGGGTCTTATTCTGAAGTTTGAATTAATTCACCGCATTTGTTTGTGACGATACTTTGTTCTGAAGGATGTTCAAGCGAAAATTTTTACCCGTGCTGCGATCTACACTGCGCCGCCGAAGCGCTGTGGGGGTTTATGAGATACCGCTTTCCGAGTTCACAATGTTTTTTGAGTGCGTCTGCGTTGTCCCATCCCTCCTTTTCTCCTGAATTTCGTCACTTGATTGACCCTATTTGTCATACTTTTGTTCTCTTGGGATGTAGATTGTTAAGTGATTGATTGTCAGACTCAGAACTCGGACGACCTGGCCTTCTTAGGGTCGAACTCATTTGTGCAAGCATTGTTCAATAAGCTAACGCATGGCCCTGCACCCCTTGGTATGTACTTCGCACACGCAAAGGGGGACGACATACCACCGTTTCTTGATAGCATTTCAAGTGATCAGTCGGTTTACTCATCTAGGTGGTCGCACATTAGGTCACTGCTCACATTGTTATGAACGGTGTCGTTTCTCACGGCCTCAGTCATTTATACAGACGGTGAAACATAGACTTATTGCTCAGGAGTACGGTGTGCAACGTTTGCTGCACATTAGCTGAGATTTTGCCCACCTCTAGCTAACTTGTGTAATGATGATGTTGGTGCAACGCTGCGATACAGCCAGTTTTATTGTATTGATTACAAACAACATCCGCGCTCAGAGAACAGTAACTGCCTGTCTGTTTAACCGACGATTCCTGCGAGATGTCCACTTGTTGGGGGGAATCTCCGTGTAGTAATTAATATCCGTCTATACATGCCAGTGTTGGACTACGTTCCCTCTTAGGCACTAGTAAGCCGCTTTTTGCACTTGAACCTGCGTTGGGTCAAACGTGTCCTTCGCAGCCAGCTACTATGAAGTGTGTTGCTTACTAATATTATGATCCTATTTGAGTGAACACGGCGAAGCATGACGAGAAAACTGACCATCTTACTTGCTGTCTCAGGGATCGTCTACATTAAAAAAATATGCAGTCGTATATGATAAAGTAATGGGGTTGGAAATGCATACATTTCCTTCTTACTCATTTTTGACGGTTTCAACGTTTTTACCTGTTTTATTTTTCGAGACTGTAGTGATTCGCGTTCCCGGGCATAGATACCCCTGTAGTATTTCATCTTGCATAGCACCGGAGCATCATTTCGATGTACCCGTTTACCGTTAACCTTTTTATCAGCCAACAGCGTACCTTCTCCACGGAATACTGCCATGTTACATTTTGTCGTTTATCTTGCGTTGCTCAATCACCATACAGATTCTCTCTACTTCATTTCTATTTAAGACTAACAATCGACCACTTTTATCTTTCAGAGGGGCTAATGTTGACGTCGCACGCCGTGCAATGTTCGCATTTTGACAATTTATCATCCGTGCATATGATCTTGTTTCTCCCTCACCGTGTAAACTTTATGCTCCCTCCCCCAACATGGCTTTTCATTAGTCATCATTTCTTTTTTACTATTTATAAAGCTAAAAACAAACAGGGAGACAAGCTTAAAAACAAGACAGTGAGGTCGGAATACGCGCGAGTACATTTTAAAACGAATATGATTATCTAGAGCACTTCACTATAAAATGATCTCTCAGTGTCCCTTGAGCCACTGTTCTCTGTTTTCGCATCAGATATTGCGCACGATTTGTCCACCAAGCTCAACGGACGTTGGTTTCCTGGAATGTCTTCCCTTTTTGCACCGTAGTCGAACGTTGCATGTGGCTCCACATCGTAGGGAGTGTTTTTCCGATCTACAATCAAAGGGATGAACAACAATTTATACACTTCCATCCGACAAATATCGAGACTTTATTTATTGGTGTTTGATGACTACGGTTTGTGCAATTCGTTTGCTCTGGCCTTCAACTTATACTACAGGAATGTCGCTTGAGGTCTCGCCGCAAGAAACAATCGGTTCACTTACCTTGGTAGTTGTGTCACCTTTGGTAGTCCCATCACTTGTGTGTGTGTAAGAGGGGGGGGGGTTAATTCACATACCAGCAAGATCCGTGCGGTTTTAATGAGAAAATGGCATAATTTCAGTCAGTAGAGGTTAAGGTGTACGGGGACCTGGCTACCTCGAGTTAGAGGTTGGTTGTGTTTGATCACCGGTACTTTTAGGGTATTGCCTGTGTCTACTGGGAACTGCGGATGAAGTACTGTGGTCCACGATTTGGGGCTTGGCAACAAATCTGCTGGTGTCTTACTGGAGTACCTGCTAGGCTTGGGCTGTTCGCATTGGTTAGGTCATGTCCCCGTACGCCCGTCGTCGTTGCACCTGGTCGGACGAAAGCGCGATACATTGGTATAGAGACGTAAAGAAGTTGTGTAAAAAGCTTGATCAAATTGTATTCGTGGATAGGCTCCTCAAGGTTGTCCGCATCAGATATGGCGCCGTTTTCTAACCCTTTCCACTATGTATTTTGTTTACGTTCCATCTCATTTTCTTCATTGTCGTTAACCATTGGTGTCCTGACGACGCTAGTTATGACAACTGAATCCACTGCACTTCGGTGCTCGGGTCATAGTTGTCTGACTGAAGCGATGAAGTCAAGGAATCTCAGCTGATTTCCTTAGCATCAATCGGGGAACAAGGGTTTGAAATGCTCGAACTTGTGCGATCGGATCCGCGGACACGCACACTCTGCATCTAACCCTCCTCTCCCGCCAACGTACTCCACTTCCATCGCGCTGGTGTGACATGGAGTATGGAGCTCGTTCCTCCGTGTTGTCCTTTGGCTGTCATTGGCGCGTAACGGCCGTCTGGTACCCTTTGTAATGAGCGTGTGCTGAAGTGGATGCGAACTATTGGCGCGACTATCACACAATGAAAATCTCAGCTGAACGCATTCGTTGTTCGTAGTCCTTTTCTAGAAGATTCTTAGTTGCTTGTCAGCCAGGATTAATGCTTCGTGTGTCGAGACACTATAACGTCTATCACTAGCTAACGGGCTTGTTCGTTTGCTCGTGTTTACATACTAAGTGGGCTTTCATTTATTGACCCATGACTTTGGAAAACAGTAACTTTCCACGTACGTCCAAATCAGGGTATCACTATGAACAGTTGCGAGTATTCAAATCAAAGGCTGTTAGCACGATAAATAGCTTACACCCTGTCCGAAGCAACAGCCAAAGTGGCTTTCGTTAATTCGACTCTCCTTACTTGATGAATGCCGGTAGAGCATGATGTGAGCGAGTTAGCCTAGAGGCATCAAAGGCAGGGCTAATGCCAAGATTCTCACAGGACGTTTATCCTTACACAGGATTGAAATGAAGATTGATAACAACAGTCTCTAATGTGTTGCCGTATTCAATCGGGAACGGTGAATGCTGTTTGGCGCCGGGCAGATTGTTCCGCTCGTGTCGGCCACTGTTGATAGTGTGGCTTTGTATGCCGTCATTTTATGTGAGTCCAGTTGACCCGAGTAATAATTCTGATGATCCGGACCGATCGGATTCTCTCGCATGACGCCTCTGTCTTCAATACGACGTGAATCAGCTATCCATCTCCGGATATTACCTCACCCAGTGGAATCCACCTTGAACTCCTATGTCAGATGACTCGAAACAACACTCCTTTGTTCCATCAACGCACCTGACTACCGGTCAGCTGACGTACCACAATTACGAGCACGTCGAAAGTTACACACAGCAAAGTTATTGTGATATGGAAAAGTCTTTTCACCATTCAGTTGTCTCGATTTGTGTCGACGGGCGGCCTTGATTGAACTTTGCACAACGTATTCCACTTTGTTCGACGCTAGCGGCTTCTATTACACTTTGCGAATTGCAAATGCAATTGACGAGTAGACAATCACGTTACTCAGGCATGCAGGAGAGAATGGTCGGAAGTCAAATCGACATACAAGTTCGTATTGACGTGTATCATGTTTAGTTGATGATGCTGGTATAAAAAAATAAGTAAGACAACGGTACATTCGAAAGCGATTGGACACAGGTTAGTGTCCAGCACGAGTGCTCAAACCCAAGCAGGGTTGTAGACCCGAATGCGAGGTGTAGATGCTGTGAGCTAAATTGCTGAAAATGTGCCCTAGGTTGACCTGTCATTTGGTGGCGCCGTATAACTGGATATGAATAATGGAGTTTTGCACTGTTTCTATAGGAACCATAGTGAGTACAGAATTGAGGACACATCGGCTGTTGTCAGCGCGAGATACGTTGACTCCGAATTGATCCCTGAAGGGATGTTTCGACTTGATAGACGGCTGATTTGAGCTTTTATGTATCACTGAATTATGGAGGAAAGCTACTGAGAGAATTCGTTTCTGGTGGTCTCCGGTCGGTGAAAGCGTATGATAAAGTTATAGAGGGCACTTTACATTCGACTTTGGCTATAGTGAAGTCTGAAAGTTGGATTGCGCAGATGCCATTTCGCCGTTCACTTGTTAGATACTCTTCCCGATATTGCAAGATGATGGGGCGAGGGATGCTTTCGCATTCGCTGATTCAATTCTTCCCCTTAACTCCCTCATCTAGCGATTTTATTTCTCTCATTCTCTGTTACTGTTATTATTACTTGTCAACGTGCACCAATGCGATCGCCTGCACCGCGCCTTGATTCACGGATCTTAGTTGATACATTGGACCCGGTGACAATGCTGCCCTATACCTCATAAGGTAGCGTACCACATCGGCTTCAGCGAAATTAAGTTGGATTTGAAACCCCATTGTTCGTGTATCTCAGACTGAGTCGATATGATGTTTCGAAAACCTGAAGGTGAGTTCAGTCGGCTTTCAGTTCGTCCAATTTGTTTCTTAATAGCAGTTGACATCCTATTCCTGGTCAGTGCCGCGTTAGGAATTGCACACGAGGGGTGCTGTGTTCAATTAAGGTGTACCTAATACACAGGTAGCTAGGTCTGAAAATGTTCTGGACAATGTTGCCGGTAGTTTGGGTAAATGGAACAGTGACACCGTCCACGGGAACTGATCACGGTCGCATGGGTTGAGGAGTATGTCAGCCTAACATTGATGAACCAAGTGCAGTGTGTTACACACGAAGGGGTCCGGCTCATCTCAGACACCAACTGGCGAACAGTACGGTCTCAGCGAATCTTGATTAACAACGCGGAATGCAACGGCGACTGGCCAACCTACTGTGCTAGACCGGCGCAGGATCAGTGGAAAGAAAGCAAAGCAAGTGCAGCGAATGCAAATTGGTTAGCATTTCACAAACCAAACGAGCAACTCAGAAATTGCCTGGTCTAGCATAAAGCAAGCACACCACGTGTCTCTAGATAGGGCAGCTGCTAGTTGGATTGAGCACAGCTGCTGTTTAATGTAATTAAGCTGACGACGTAGGGTACGATAACGTGAGTTAGCCACTGAAAGGCCGGCTCATTAGTAGAGCTCTTCAAGTTTTTGTGCTGTGTAAATGATCCTACGGTTTCCATCGCTATCCAGACTTCATTTGAACCTGCCTTGGGCTACACAACAGACGTCCCGTTTCGCCTTTTGAGTACCATCAGGTATCGTAATCTGTACCATGTTTTTGCGAGGCGGTTGTTGGATTATCTCAGCGTCTGAAGAAACTGCACTCGACATAGCTGACATGCTGAGTAAAACGGCACGCTACCGCTTCCTCAATCTTCTCTTAACGGATTCATCGATTAGTGTTGAGGATAATAGTGGCCAGGGTTGAAACTCATTGTCACTGCGCATGCCTCTATTACTCATCTGTGTGGGCTCCCCGCTTGTTCACAGGTTGGCATCGTTCGGCACCAATTCTTCCCCTACCCCACAGACCTTCCTCTACTTACCATCTAACTCAGCTTGACTTTACTTCTCTTACCAACCTCATTATTCTTACCATTCCTTCGCACCTTGCAACTGTGGTGGCGTGTGGGCAGAACCAGGTGGTGCCTTATTTCATTCTATCTAGTTGCAGATCGCGACCGAAATGGCGATTTGAGGATGCGTTGTAAGTTACTACTTTTGCCTAGACATCTGTGTAGTTACGTGCGTGTGTACGAGTTCGTGATCTTTTCGCTAGTCCAGCTTTCTGACGCCTACTACTGTTCTGGCCGTTACTGGTTGTCACTCGATCTATCAATCGGGAGCCCACTCATAGGAATACTAATGTCCACGTACTTCCCTAAGACATCGATCAGGTTCTACTCCAATGCTCTATCCCCTGTTCACTATCGTTCGTCCGTATGTAAGTGTCAGATGCACCATCTTTCAACTCTACTTCTATTTCCTACCAGTACTGTAACCGAGGTGCCTCATCTTCGCCTAATTCATCACACAGTCGCACTAGCGAGCGTGTAGTGACTCAAGCTGAATGTTTATTCTTGCTGACTTATGCGGTTTAGGGCACTCGATGCGATTGCTCACAAGATCTCTATCCGCTATAGCAATTAATCGTCCCAGGAGACATAATGCACGGTGTCCGTGACAGCGTTAGGCTCACCGATTTTCTATCCGTGAATTTGGGCGCATATTTCCCACAACGTTTCATCAGAGGTACAGGTGTTGATGGAGTGTAGGTTGGCTCCGAATCAATCATGGTTCCCACTTGGTGGAGTGTTAAGATGCTCTGCGCAGTTCACCCATGATCTATGTGGACCTTTGCCCGAAAGTATAACGCGTATATAGTATAGTCCGCAGATCACCGGTTCTGATCCGCTTAGTTACGTGCGACTGGTCTTAGTTGCGTGGCAGCGAAGCGTCGGTACGATGTGTCGGCGTACTGCGGATGCCTTTTCTTTTCTGTATGAACACAGGCGTC